TCTGGGAAAAATTCATATTCAGAGAACAGACACACCGCTTTGGTGTACAGACTAGGAAGCCTGGGGTTTGCTTTTTTTATATAATTTTGCTGTTCTTGGCTTCAGTTCAACAATCAGTTCAATAAACATTCATTGAGCACCTAAATTATACATGTAGGAAACATGAATAAATAGGATTCTCTGGTCTCAGATCACAAGTTGGTATGGGAGGAAAGGAAACCAGTAATTACAGTACATGCTGACTGAATTATTAACCTGTTTACAGGTTGTTGGAGACTTACATGTAGTTATGTTTGGGATAATAAGGAGGGATCAGAAAGGGAAAACTTTACAAAAAAAGGGTGGTACCTGAGCTAAGTTAAGACATGGAGTCAGTTCACAAAACTCCAGAAGGTAGGTCCAGGGTGAAGCTCAAACAGTAGGGGAATGACTAAATGCTATGCTAAGGAGTTGGGAGTTTTACTGATAGTAAAAGCTTATTACATGATCAGACCTGCATATACCCCCATGACTCCAAGCATTTTATGACATAGCTATCGTTGAAGTATTTGCTGAACAGCTGATTAAAACTATAGCTAGACTTAAGTAATTGAAAATACCAAATTATAACTGCAGAATGGCTTTGGGATTAACTTGGAACAACTAACAATATCTATTTTAATTCCTCAATCTCACTTGTTTTTCAACCGAGTTGAACATTCTACTTTAATCTTCACAACTACCCTAAGATAGTTACCCTGATCTATGAGGACACTGAGGCAGAGATCATCTCTCCTTGAAGCCAAAAATGGTCAATCTTGGCTTTGAATTCAAGCAAGTATTAGTCCTAAATTCATATTCTTAACTCCTCTTGTACTGCTTCTCTGGCAAATTGTGGGATATTTTGATTTTTCCCCTTAGGGTGGCCAAAGCTTAATTATGGAAACAATACTGATTTCTCTTTAAAATGATTCATTCCTAGGTTCTGGGCCCCTGTGAAAATCTCTGTTCAGGTATTCTAGTCAGGGAAGCCTGTGTTAAGGTACACGTTACTTGGCCTAGCTGTTTCACTCAAATGTGTGTAATTTTTTTCCAAGAGAATCTGGGTTTCTATGGGAATCTCATGGTTTTAAGTGCTGACATGAATTTTAAAAAATACCACAGAATCTTAAGTTTTTTTAGTTTTATGTATATATTTTCCTCCCTACACTGGTTTTTAAAAATTCAAGCAACACCTAAAAAAAAAGTTACACTGGATGGAGTCACATGCTTATTTGAAATTGTGATGGTTAATTTTATGTATCAAGTTGGCTGGGCCACTGTGTCCAGGTATTTGGCCAAACATTACTCTGGATATTTCTGTGAAGGTGGTTTTTATTTATTTATTTTTTTTAATGAGATAACCATTTAAATAGACCAAGTTTCAGTAAGGCTTATTATTCTCCATCATCTGGGTGAGCCCCATTCAATCAGTTGAAAGCACAGAACAGGACCGATTTCTTCAGAAGAGGAAATTCTGCCAGCAGACTGGAACTGCAACTCTTCCCTGGGTCTTCTTCAGCCTTCACTCTACCCCATCAGATTTTTGACCTGTCAAACTTCCACAACTGCACAAACCAATTCTTAAAATAAATCTCTCCATAGACACATCCTGATGGTTTTTCTCTGGAGACCTTCCCCTGCCTGGCCAGTATCAAAACTAAAAAGTTGTCTGGCCTCTGCCACTCAATATACTTATATTCTAAGAGCAGGCCTGCTGAAGCTCTTTTATGCGGATGGGGCAAACCGTATTCCTGTCCCAGGATAGGCAAGGGAGGTTTTTCTCATTCATGTACACTCAAATATTTTAACTCAGAAAGACAAATTCAATAAATGACATTTTCTACCTAGACCCGCTATACAGTACTGTTACTTTTGACTCTTGATATATTTTAAATCAGGGAAAAAGTAATTCATTTCAGACTTGCCAGAACTTAGAATGCTTCTATATAGCTCAAGGAATCCCAAAATAATCGGATGGAGGTGTAATCCCCATTTCCTCCAAGAAAACCCTTTATTTGTAATTTAGCAAAGATTTGAACCAAGCACTCAAAATCATTTTACAAACCCTAAACTCTTAACTTTGGCTTCTAGTTCCCACAGGTAGAAATCCTTAATGTTCTACAGAAAAACTCTCCAAGCACAGGATAACATGAGTCATCAATAATCAACCCCTCCCTCACCAAAAAGCAAAATACACAAATACACGGAATAGTTGGACAAAGTAACTGAGACTAAATCGCATCCATATTTAAGTAGTTACCAGATGGTTACTGAAAAGCTGGTAGATATTCCAAGTGACCAAACTAGGGTTAAAATATTCAGTAGCTAATTGCTTTCCCCTACCCTAATATAAAGCCCTAGGATCTAAGTCACTACATTTTAAGTTGTAAACAGCATTTCACTTCTCAAACTGTAAATTTCATTCACTGATATAGTTACTAATCAGAGTCAACCTTTAAACCATTTCTACTGGTCAAAGCTCCAGAATAAACTGAGAACAGCTTCAATATTGTCTCACATGCTATTATATTCCATGTTCCAATATATTTCAAATATTCTACTTTCTTTCAGTCTAAACAAAAATAATTGCTCAGTACCACATTGATCAAAGAAATTTTAATTTTAGAGTACGTGTCTAGAGGAAACAAATGAAGCTCTTGAACTTAAATCTGTACACACTACTGGTTTTCCTAATGATTAACTTAACCACTCCTGGAGGGAAAAACAGATTTATTCCTTCAAAGTATGGAAGACCAAAAGTCTTTTTTCTCCCTTTAAAGAAAAAAAATTATAGGACAAAGTTTGTATTCCTCTTTTACAACAAATTATCAACAAATTCCTGCCCTAGGCATCAAAAATTAAAATTTAGAATATAAGACCAAGAAACTAGCTAACTCATGTACCTAATCAAGAAACTAATAATGGAAGATTACCCAAATAAAAAGCACACGCTCAATGATTATCATGTTCCATATTTCAGAGAAGAGGCATTAAGGATTTATGCCATTAGTTTATTTATAAAACATATCTAGTACGTTGAGTTCCAAGAGTTTGATCCTTTTTTTTTTCAGAGATTGCACCTCTTAAAATGCTCCTCTTCCTATCTGTGAATAAAAATATAAAAAGTTAATATTAAAAATCAGATTCATTTAACAGAAATCATGTAGTTTCATTAATGTATTGTCTGTCCATCAGCTTATGGCTGGTACATCAGAAAGCGTTTACAGTATCATGATTTTATTCATACTGATTTGCTTCATCATATGCACCAAAATCTTCAAGTAATGGCCTGGATAAACCATTTCCCTTCTAAACTATGACAAGTAAAGTCTTTCTTTTCCAAACTCTATTTTGGAATTTATTCCAATAATCCCACATTCCTGTAGTGTTGCTTTTGATGAAAATTCTGACTACAATTAAACTAAATAAATCCTTTCTTCTCACTCAGGCAATCTGTAAATCTTGCATATATACGAACACATACTGCCCTCAAGACAGATTAACAATCAGTTTCCTAGAACTTTACCTGGTCAAGAACCTAAGCTCTGGAACAAGACTGCCTGGGTAAAAATCCTGGGCTGCCATCACTAGCTATGGGATACTGGCTAACTTAACACTTTTGTGTCTCAGATCAGGTTAATACCATCCACCTGACAGTCCTGCCTGGTAGCTAACACAAGCTTATTAATGTAAAGCATGCCTGACAAATACTAGTACTTAATAAACACTGACTTTCAGGCAAAGAAATATTTGTTTATAGGTTTGATGTGTCTCCCAATGCCACACCTACACTTAATTTCAGGAATCACAACAACACACAACAATGTATTCGTGATTTTTTTTTAGGGGGAGGGGATAGGGAAAAAGAAAGGAATAAAAGGGAAAGCACTGAAAAAACTAGAAATCCATTTAATTAATTACCTGTTTCCTGGATTATTTTTTAAGCAGTTGATGTCTTACTATAAAGAAAGGTGCAGCAAATCCAGAACCAAAGTACAAAGTCATCATAACTAGTAACCGCCACTTATTTTCCACCGAAAATGGTAAATTCTGTTGGAGAAAAAAAGAGAAGCAACAAAAACTGAACTTCAAATCATCTAATTTTATAAATCAAAAGTGCACATGAAATGTTATTTTTTAAATAACCAGGTTATATATGCCATGTATCATTATATCTTCTAAAATATTATCTTTCAAACCCTGTGTCTTCATCATACGAAACACCAGAAGGCAAAAAAAAAACCAACCTGATTTTCACTCTTCAGCTCTACCCCTCTACACCTTTTCTCGGTCCATTTATACTAGGCCTTACACAACCCTGGGAGGTTGTCACTGCTAACTACCCGAGTTAAGCTATTTATATTTGAGGCTAAATCCCACTTCAACCAAGTAAGATGAATACTTCTAATTTAGTCAACTAGCTGGAGAAGACAAGACCCACAGGACAGGCCCTAATAACCTTGAATTTTGAGTGACCTTCATTTCGACTCGGGTGACCTCCAGCTACTCTTTAAGCCACAATTCCTGCAGCCAGGGGCTCCAAGGCCCTCCAGATCCTGAAGAGAGGGATGGGGAGCGAGGGAGGGATGGGGAAGCGCTGGGACTAGGTAAGGCCTCTCGCTTTACCTACTCATTCCTTTCCACGGATACGCGCACAGCCAGGGTCCTAAGCTTTCTCCCTGGTCCCGGGGGGAAGTGGAATGCCAGTAGGCACCCCAGCCCAAATTCCCGGCTTCCCAGTTCCCTCTCTACTGCCCAGAAATTCAGTCAGTCTCGGCCAAAGGCCCCCTACTCAACGACGCCAGGCCCCTTCCATACTAACCTTCCCCGGACCCTCCTCATAGTGGCTTCTTCGGACCACAGAGGTTGTGAACCTCCGAATGCTCTGTCCCAACATAGCGCTGTTGGAAACTCTGCGAAAGGCGCAGAGACGGAAGGCGGAAGAAATGGCGGCAGCACACCAACAGCTTCTCTCCCCGCGACCTTGTTCCTCTCTGGGCGCTAACCGAAAGGAAAGATGGGAAATGGGGCCGAGCTCTCGGAAAACGCGGCTAAGCGGCGATCTCCGAGGATTGTGGGAATTGTAGTTCAGAACACAAGGTGTCTGGTGGGTCCTGAAGGATTGTGGGAAATGTAGTCTCGGGCCAGGTTCCTGGAGGATCAAAAGCTACTTACTAGCAGTGTTTCTTTTAGACCTGAGTTCTTATCGAGTTCTTGTCAGGTTTCTTGGGGCCCGTTTCTAGAACGCTTTTTCAGAAATTAGCGAAGCAGTTTCACCCCGTGTGCTTTAGTTTATGGAACAGAAAAATAAACCTCTTCCTTTTCTTTTTGTGCGACTGTATGTTAAGTGCCTGTAATTTGCAGTACTATTCTGCCGGCGCTAAGAGATCTGAACTCATGAGACGGAAGCAAAGCGTAAGCACAAGTAACCCAACAATATACAGTACAAAGGTTGTCAGAGAGAAAACTGAATTGAAGTGTGAAGGGAAGGATTCCTGGAGCTATAGGGACCTGAAAAGAACAGAAGTAGCACAGAGGGAAGAGAAAACTCAAGGCCAGTATGAGTATGGTATATTGGCAGTGTGGAAGAGAAAGCAGCCTGTGATATGCGGGGCCAGCCTCGACTAGGAATTGGTGTTCCCCTGCTGAACCTAAACAATTTCACAAAACATGAACATCAGAGTTACTCTAATTAGTGATGGATCAAGAAAATAACATCACTCTATTGTATCTGAACATAAACAAATTAGAACATTGTTCAAGTTACAAAAATGACCAAACATCACCATATCCAGTAGATTTGATGACTTCTGCTTCTTTACCAAATATAACCTTAACCTTCGATTAGTCTTTTTTCCTCCTAAGTGAGACTTAGTAGTAAGATAGCAGAAATCACTGAAAACAAGCCCAAATCCTGTAAGTCCTAACACCTTACTGAGATTCCCAGGGTTCCTCAGGGTATTTGGTCTCCCTTACAGTAAAGAGTAATAAACTCTGTTCAGTCATATATTCCTGGTGGTCTTTGACTAGTTGGTATTGGGAAGAAACAGGTGATAAATGAGGCGGGGATAGTAGTATTAGGTTAGATTAAAAAGGGCCCTGCTAACCTAACTTGTATGTTATTCATCTGTGGGAGAGCATACATTGCTTCAGATGGCTCATTTATACAGCAGGAATAAATACAGCCAAGTAAGATCTAAATCTTGCTTTGAAAACTCAGTATAAAGTGTATGTATCTTTCTTTAGCTTTTGAAAGAGAAAAGCTATCTTTCACACCAACCAAATACAAAAACTTAAAAAAAAAGAGTAAGTTTTATTTTACAGGTAAGTTCTAATTGAGTAGAGATGCATGTAATGCAAAATGAGTGTTCTCCTAATTGACAGAGGCTATATGATATTCAATTTTTTTAGAAGTCCCTGTCAGTGTCTTTATATATTAAAGGATTCTGATTTAACTATAATTGGGAAACATTTTCACAGTTAATATTTCTGGATTTTCTTTTTCAGTCTAATAATAAGTAATATCCCCTGTATATTTGGTTCATTGTTACTTCTAATTCACATTAATTGATTCTTTTTGTGTATCTGGCTTTCAGCTAACTCCAAAGGAAACTCCAGAAGAGATTCTAGCATATGGCTTTGAAGTCATCTGCCTCCTCATGAGGGGCCCTGTGGCAAATTAAAGATCATAGCAAATTCTTTTCATCAAGCTGTAGGGTCTATGCCTTTTCTCCCTGAATCTGGATGGACTTTCTGTGGTTATTTTGATTAAGAGACTTTGGCATTAGTGCTGCTGTGTCAGTGTCTTGCCCAGGCCTTACGACATTGGCAGCTTCCTTTTCTGTCTTTTGGAAGATTTGCCTTTGCAACTCTGAGCTTTCATGTAAGAGGTTTGACTACTTTGCTGGAGAAGCCTTCTGGAGAGTTCCCAAGAATCCACCTGAAGGAAGTGGGAGGGTCACCTCAGGAGTCAGATATGTGACTGAAGCTATCTTGGACTCTCTGTCCAGTCCAGCTACCAGCAGAACATCATGGAGGGACCCTAGTCAATGCTGTATAAAGAGGAGTTGCCCAGTTTAGCCCTGCCCCAAATGCTGATCTACAGATTTGTGAGAAATAATTAAATGGCTATTCTTTAAAGCCATAAAGATTGGGGTAGTTTGTTATGCAATGGTTAATAACTGGAACAAAAAGAAATAACACAGCTGCTTTATTTAGGGAAATCATGTGAGAAGAACACAGTTTCTCACCAGTAGTCCATATACTTGGGAATTTGGCTGTGTCATTTAAAATATTTCTCTTAGCTTAATACATATTTTCTCTTAAATCACACTTCTGTGATATTTCTCCAACTCTAATGAAGATGAGTTGTGCTAGACTGACCAAAACATTGAAAGACCATATGATGGTGTTGTAGCAGTTGGCATACTCTGGGGAGTGCTAGACACTCTCAGAAATGCATTTTGCAGCTTTTTGATGCTCTAGATAAGTTAGGAGGTAAATTGGGACAGCATTGAAGGTGACTGAGATCACTTATTCCTTGAATGATTATAGACCTTTGTATTAATGGCTAGATATCCATAGATCACGTTCTTGATAATTATTTAAAAATATTTTCTAAAGAATGTTTTTGTCCAAAGACCAAATTGAACATGAAGAAAAATTTTATATTAGTTTCTGTGCTGTTTTCTTAATTGATAATTATTACAATTTTTTAAAGAATATGATTGATTACTTTTTTATTGTAGTCAATTTATAATTTTGTGTCAATTTCTGGTGTACAGCATAATAGTTCAGTCACTATATATATATATATATATACACACACATATATTCATTTTCATATTCTTTTTCATTATAGGTTACTTACAAGATATTGAATATAGTCCCCTGTGCTATTACATTATAAACTTGTTATTTATCTATTTTATATATAGCAGTTAGTTAAATAATTAGCATACCCTGAGTTTAGGGATTCTATGTTAATCTTGTTTCCTAATTTCAGTAGAAAGGGAAGAAGTTGAAAGAAATTTGGCAATATTCCATTTCTGAATAGGTAGTGTGGTAAATTAAAGATGGCCACAATTTCTTTGTAACTCTTACCATTATGAGGTGAGGTCTGACTCCCCTTCTCTTGATCTTAGTGACCTCCCTGACCAATAGAATGTAGTAGACATTCTGAGACTTCTGAGGCTGGCTTATCAAAAGTCTTAACCATTTCCATTCTGATAACTTGAAATGTTTTCTTGGGAGAAGCCAGCAATCATGTCAGAAGTCTATTCTGATACTGCCTGGAAAAACGAGGAAGCCCAAGCTAACCATTTGGGGAAACCACAGAGAAGTGAGAGGGAAGGAAGAAGGAGAGGGTTAAGGGGAAGTGAGGAAAGGAGGTGCGTGGGAAAAATATGCCAGACCAGCCCCCAGCTCTCCCTTCCATTCCTCAGCCCAGGCACCAGATGAGTAAGTAAAGAAGCCTTCAGTTAACTCCAGCTACAATCATGATTTGCCTACACATTTAAGAGGTATGGTAAACAAGAACTGCCCAGCTAAACCCATCAGCTTCCAGAACTATAAGACAAAATAATAAATTGTTTTAAACCGCTAAGTTTTGGAGTAGTTTATTATAAAGGAGTAGGAACCTGGAGCGGGTATCATGAACAAGTTCTTGTACATGTAGTGTAACAATCTAAATTGAGTCTTAATAGCTGTCAAGAAAAATGTGACTCATCCTTGAGAAGCTTTTGATTTAGTATGATACTCATTTGCTATAAAATGAATTTTAAGACAAATGAGACATTTTATGGATTGAAACAAAATAGAAAAGATCTTTAGGGACATGAAGTTTAATCCAAAGTTATATTTTTTAAAAAAAACCAGTTATTTTAAATAGTGAATAGGATGGATATTATAGAGTAAGCAATGTGCTTTCTAAACCCACATGAGTCTTTGGAGACTAAAATTACATTATATAGAACAGTATTTCTAAAAATTAAAGTACAATATTTGTCATTTCTCCCAATAGATACTATATTAGATTTTTAAGAATTAGGTTAGAGTTTATTTAAAAATAAATTGTTTAGCGAAGAAATTATATGTTTCTATCCTACACTGAAAAACTCAAATTAACAAACTTCTTTTGGTTTTAAATTTTAGAATTTCCTGCTACTATAGAGTTAAAGTCAGAATGCAGGGTTAACTTTTATTTGAAATTTTACTTGTAGAGGGGAAAAAATACCTGGTTTTAGGAAAGGAGAAAATGTGATTTCAGTGAGGCAGTTAGGGTTGGAAATTCTGCCAGCCTGCTGAACGATTTAGTGATGACCAACTGGAAGAAAAGTTTCTGCAAAAACAAGCAAACCAAAACCAAAACCAAAAACCAAAACAAAACAAAATTAAAAAAAATTTACTTGATCAAGCTGTATATTTTACTCTTCATCTCGTTTTAGTACTTTTGAATACTTTTTTCCTTAAAAGCATTTACTGTTTTATATTCCAACTTTATTGCTTAATCTCAATGAAGGTTTAAGGATGATTCACTTTTTTTAGATTAATTTGTAATTTAATTATTTGTCATTGAGAATTGCCAAGTATAGGTAGGTACATTTTTACAAGGTGAATATAGAAACTAACATTTCTCAATTTGAAAATCACTGATTGTAGATATATTTATGTTCTATTTCCTTCTTAATTTGCAATGGTACTTGGTATCATTGCTTTGACCTCTTCACATTACTCAATTAAGTTATACCCTCACTGAACAGCATTTAAAACTGTTTCATTGTCCCTGAATTGTACTCAGCATCTTCTTACCACTTTGTACTAAGGGATCTCATAAATAAGAGACTTATGAAACTCATTGCTATGTTTACTGGGAGGATTTTTTTTCTTTGAGGCTATGTTTCAATATATTTCATGGTGTCATTTTTATGAGGACCCACAGGAGAAATTTCTCTCTGGTCTTAGAACTAAAATAAACATGCTTCTCGTGAGTAGCTGATTTGTTTTTGCCTTATGAGT